AAACAATACTTATCCACAAACCCAGCCCTACAGAAAGCACTAGAAGGAAAATTCCAACCTAAGGAAGTCAGATACACCCTCGAAAACACAGGCAACAGATAAAGCCACAGCAGTAAACCCCAACGTATAGAAGTACCCACACATCACCACCAAAAAATAACAGGAATGAACAATCACTGGTCATTAATTTCCCTCAATATCAATGGACTTAATTCACCTATAAAAAGACATAGGCTTACAGAATGGATACGAAAGCAGGACCCATCTTTCTGCTGCATACAAGAAACACATCTCAAATTCAAAGATAGACACTACCTAAAAATAAAAGGCTGGGAAAAGACTTTCCAATCAAACGGTCTTAAGAAACAAGCGGGTGTAGCCATCCTGATATCCAGCAAAATAGACTTCAAACTAAAATCAATCAAAAGAGATCAAGAAGGGCATTACATACTCATCACAGGAAAGATCCACCAAGATGAAGTCTCAATTCTGAATATTTATGCCCCAAACACAAGGGCACCCACATATGTAAAAGAAACATTACTAAAGCTTAAATCACATATAAAACCCCACACATTAATAGTGGGAGACCTCAACACCCCACTTTCACCACTGGACAGATCTCCCAAATTGAAACTTAACAGAGAAATAAAGGACTTAACTGATGTCATGACTCAAATGGACTTAATCGATATCTACAGAACATTCCATCCTAACAAAAAAGAATATACCTTCTTCTCAGCACCCCATGGAACCTTCTCTAAAATTGACCACATACTTGGCCACAAAACAAATCTAAACAGATACAAAACAATTGGAATAACCTCCTGTGTTCTATCAGACCACCATGGTCTAAAGTTGGATTTCAACAACAACAAAAACTACAGAAAACCTGCAATCTCATGGAAACTGAATAATACCCAACTGAATCACCAATGGGTTAAGGAAGAAATAAAGAAAGAAATTAAAGACTTCCTAGAGATCAATGAAAATGAAGACACCACATATCCAAATTTATGGGACACTATGAAAGCAGTACTAAGAGGGAAATTCATAGCACTAAATGCCCACATAAATAAGTTGGAGAAATCTCACACTAGAGACTTAACAGCATACCTGAAAGCTCTAGAACAAGAAGAAGCACAGTCTCCCAGGAAAAATAGACGCCAGGAAATTATCAAAGTGAGAGCTGAAATCAATAAAATAGAAACAAAGAGAACAATACAAAAAATTAATGAAACAAAGAGTTGGTTCTTTGAGAAAATCAACAAGATAGACAAGCCCTTATCCAAACTAACCAAAAGACAGAGAGAGAGCATCCAAATCAACAAAATCAGAAATGAAAAGGGGGACATAACAACAGACATTGAGGAAATCCAGAGAATTATCAGGTCATACTTCAAAAACCTCTATTCGACAAAACTGGAAAACCTAAAAGAAACGGATAACTTTCTGGATAGGTACCACATACCTAAGTTAAATCAAGACCAGATAAACTATTTAAATAGTCCAATAACCCCTAACGAAATAGAAACAGTCATTAAAAGTCTCCCAACCAAAAAAAGCCCAGGACCAGATGGTTTCAGCGCAGAATTCTACCAGATCTTCAAAGAAGAGTTAATACCAATACTCTCTAAATTGTTCCACACAATAGAAACAGAAGGAACATTACCAAACTCCTTCTACGAGGCTACAATTACCCTAATTCCTAAACCAAACAAGGATACAACAAAGAAAGAGAACTACAGACCGATCTCCCTCATGAACATTGATGCAAAAATACTCAATAAAATACTGGCAAACAGACTCCAAGAACACATCAAAACAATTATCCACCATGATCAAGTAGGATTCATTCCAGGGATGCAAGGGTGGTTCAACATACGAAAGTCCGTCAATGTAATACACCATATAAACAAACTCAAAGAAAAAAACCATATGATCATCTCACTGGATGCAGAAAAGGCATTTGACAAAATCCAACACCCCTTCATGATAAAGGTATTGGAGCGATCAGGAATACAGGGAACATACCTAAACATAATAAAGGCAATTTACAGCAAGCCAACAGCCAACATCAAATTAAATGGAGAGAAACTCAAAGCAATTCCACTAAAATCAGGAACGAGGCAAGGCTGTCCACTCTCCCCATACTTATTCAATATAGTACTTGAAGTTCTAGCCAGAGCAATAAGACAACATAAGGAGATTAAGGGGATACAAATTGGAAAGGAAGAAGTCAAGCTTTCCCTATTTGCAGATGACATGATAGTATACTTGAGCGACCCCAAAGATTCCACCAAGGAACTGATACAGCTTATAAACACCTTCAGCAACATAGCAGGATACAAGATCAACTCAAAAAAATCAGTAGCCCTCCTATATACAAGGGACAAAGAAGCGGAGAAGGAAATCAGAGATACATCACCCTTTACTATAGCCACAAATGACATAAAATACCTTGGGGTAACACTAACCAAGCAAGTGAAGGACCTATATGACAAGAACTTTAAGTCCCTGAAAAAAGAAATTGAAGAAGATGTCAGAAAATGGAAAGATCTCCCATGCTCATGGATAGGCAGGACTAACATAGTAAAAATGGCAATCCTACCAAAAGCAATCTACAGATTCAATGCAATCCCCATCAAAATACCAACACAATTCTTCACAGACCTGGAAAAAATAATACTCAACTTCATATGGAAAAACAAAAAACCCAGGATAGCCAAAGGAATCCTGTACAATAACACAACTTCTGGAGGCATCACGATCCCTGACTTCAAGCTCTACTATAGAGCTACAGTAATAAAAACAGCTTGGTACTGGCATAAAAACCGACATGTGGACCAATGGAATCGAATTGAAGACCCTGACATTAATCCACACACCTATGAACATATAATTTTTGACAAAGAAGCCAAAAGTGCACAATGGAAAAAAGAAAGCATCTTCAACAAATGGTGCTGGCAAAACTGGATATCAACATGTAGAAGGCTGCAAATAGATCCATATCTATCACCGTGCACAAAACTTAAGTCCAAGTGGATCAAGGACCTCAACATAAATCCAGCTACTCTGAACCTGCTAGAAGAGAAAGTAGGAAGTAGTCTTGAACGCATTGGCATAGGAGACTACTTCCTAAATAGAACACCAGTAGCACAGACTCTGAGAGAAACAATCAATCAATGGGACCTCTTGAAACTGAGAAGCTTTTGTAGAGCAAAGGATACGGTCAACAAGGCAAAGTGACAGCCTACAGAATTGGAAAAGATCTTCACCAACCCCACATCTGACAGAGGACTGATATCCAGAATATATAAGGAATTCAAGAAATTAGACATCAAAATGCCCAACAGTCCAATTAAGAAATGGGCTATAGAGCTAAACAGAGAATTCTCAACAGAGGAAACTCAAATGGCCGAAAGACATTTAAGGAACTGCTCAACATCCCTAATCATCAGGGAAATGCAAATCAAAACAACTCTGAGATACCACCTTACGCCTGTCAGAATGGCTAAGATCAAAAACACTGAAGACACCTTATGCTGGAGAGGATGTGGAGCTAGGGGAACTCTCCTCCACTGCTGGTGGGAATGCAAGCTTGTACAACAACTTTGGAAATCAATATGGCGCTTTCTTAGAAAATTGGGAATCAATCTCCCCCAAGATCCAGCTATACCACTCTTGGGCATATACCCAAGAAATGCTCAACCACACCATAAGAGCCCTTGTTCAGTTATGTTCATATCAGCATTGTTTGTAATAGCCAGAACATGGAAACAACCCAGATGCCCTTCAACTGAAGAATGGATAAACAAAATGTGGTACATATACACAATGGAATACTACTCAGCAGAGAAAAACAATGGCATCATGAGGTTTACAGACAAATGGATGGATCTAGAAAAAATCATCCTGAGTGAGGTAACCCAGACTCAGAAAGACAAACATGGTATGTACTCACTCATAGCAAGATACTAGACATGAAACAAGGATGACTTGTCTGCTACTCACATCACCAGGGAGGCTACCTGGAAAACAGGACCCCAAGAAAGACACAGGGATCACCCAATGACAGAGAAATGGAATGAGATCTACATGAACAGCCTGGACATGAGTGGCGGTAATGAAAGGCGAGGGTTGAGGGAAAGAGAGCTTGGGGGAGCGGGAGATCCCAGCTGGATCAACAACAGAGAGGGAGAACAAGGAATAGGAGACCATGGTAAATAAAGACCACATGAGAATAGGAAGAAGCAAAGTGCTAGAGAGGCCCACAGAAATCCACAAAGATACCCACACAACAGACTGCTGGCAGTGGTCGAACTGACCTACTCTGGTGATGGGATGGCCAAACACCCTAATTGTTGTGCTAGAAACCTCATCCAACTACTGAGGGATCTGGATGCAGAGATCCATGACTAGGCCCCGGGTGGATCTCTGGGAGTCCAATTAGCGAGAATTGTTGAGACCAAGGTTGGATAAAGCACAGGGACAAATAGCCAAATGAATGGAAACACATGAACTATGAACCAATGGCTGAGGGGTCCCCACTGGATCAGGCCCTCTGAATGGATGAGACAGTTGATTGGCTTGATCTGTTTGGGAGGCATCCAGGCAGTGGGACCAGATCTTGTGCTCATTGCATGAGTTGGCTGTTTGAAACCTGGGGCCTATGCAGGATTGTTTGGCTCGGCCTGGGAGGAGGGGACTAGACCTACCTGGACTGAGTCTACCAGGTTGACCTCAGTCTGTGGGGAAGGCTTTGCCCTGGAGGAGATGGGAATGGGGGGGGTTGGGGGGAAGGTGAGGGGGACGGGAGGGGGGAGAACAAGGGAATCCGTGGCTGATATGTAGAACTGAATTGTATTGCAAAATAAATTAATAAAAAAAAAAAAAAGCTTCTCTCAGTTCTGAAATTTCAAGTTTATATGTATAAATATGACAGTTTCCAAGAGAGATGAAACACACTTTATATGTGAAATCCTTGTAAAGGAAGTTACCTTGTTAATTGTCAAAGGAAGTACGTATCTCCTCACTTCAGGCTGAGGAGCCTTCATGGCATTTCTTTTCACTTCTTCCCAGTTCTCACGCAAATTGGCTAAATATAAGTAATTATAAACAAATTCAAACCTGTGAAAACAAGAAATCAAGCATGAACACAATTACAAATAACTTGTCTTGTTTTGTTTTGAAGCAGGGTCCAATGTAACACAGGCTGGCCTTGAAGTTAAGATCTTCCTGTCTCTTCCTCCTAAATGCTGAGATTTAAAGCATGCACCACCACATCTACCAATTACAAACAATTTTAGAGGTAATTCATGACTTTGAAAGCACATATGTCTGGTTGTTATTTAGGCCACAACCCAGGCTGCTATAGATAAAAAAGAACCACTTCCTTCTCCTATTCACTGAGTTGAAAATTAAGAGGTCTGCCTCATGGATATGTTGCAGTAAGAGCAGCCTATATAATTGTTGTTCTTCTTCATTGTCTCCACTTTGTGTCTTTAGGAATCAATGCATTTTTAATTTATTCTCTAGCCTGAGAATAGCATGTCTGCTTCTCTTATTCAGAATGACGGAGGGAGGGCATCTTATAGAGCTTGTGCAGTTTAAAGGTACTTTCCAAGTCACAGAACCTTCTATTTTAAGGTCTGGTTCAGATCCAGTTGGTTTTTATTATTTAGTAGAGTTCTGATGTTCAGTCTATTTCTGATTTTCTAAATTCTGATCATTTTCAGTTACACTTTTTACCATTTCATACCACTCCTCTTTGCCCCCTTTCACATTAAACAACAAGGGCTTGTGCCTCTATTAAAGCATTTTGTTTCCAGAAGAAATTGGACATAGGACACTTATCCAACATATTTTCTTACCCTTTCCAGCAACAAAGATCCACAATCAGAAACCCGTTGTCTTCATAAGTATTGATATGATGAAAGAGATTGAAAGGGGAGGTCCTGTATTTATTATTGAAGTATTTTCTTCTTTTTTTGTCAGCAACATGAAGCCAAACCTGGAAAAGTAGGAAAATACTTTGATAAATTTATAAAAAATAAAATATTTTCCTCAGTATCACAACTTAACAAATGAATAAATGAATCAGACATACCCCCATGCTTTCGTTGGACTCAAAACAATCCATGTAGTTCGCTCCCCAAAGACTCCACGAAGAAAGGAACTTGAAAAGATTAATTTTGACTGGAGTCTCCACAAAAACAATATAGTTTGGAGTTAGACCAAAACTGTTCAGAAACACAAATGGGCTTGTAAATGAGAGGGCCAGTTCTCGGTTACAAAGAAATAGGTCTATACAAGGTATATTTAGTTACTCAGATCTACAATACTTATATGAAATAATTAGCTTTAAACCTAGTTTTCTACAAGAAACTGTCCTGATCATGTAGACAAAGGATAAATTTAAATTTGAGCCATTCTTTGAATTACCTGTGTACATAAGATGGCTTGAACCGATCACTGCAGGGGAACTGTACAACAATCTCTGACTTGTTTATTGGGTCTTCCTTGTCTGAAATAAAGTGGTTTTAAAGGCTTTTGATCATCATCATCATCATCATCATCATCTTCTTCTTCGTCGTCATCATCATCATATTTAAAACAGCTTATACAAGCAAAAATACATTTTCAGATGTGGATCTTTTTTTGGAGCTTGTTTTCATCTCCTCAGTTACTGGACTATCTTAGTGGAATTTTATGTTGTTAAGGGGGTTTTGAGAAAGGGTTGGTTACCTAAAGGTCCCACTAAGTTCCTTTTGGGGTAAAGACAAAAATTTGTACATCTTACAAAGAAGATTCACTCAAGAAAGTGAAGTGACAGATGGAGAACAAGGAGCCATCGACATACTGTCAGATAAAGAACTGCAGGAGAGGACAAGAGAGTCCAGCTGAGGGTCCTGGACAGAAAGTCACAAGTACAGACCTGGGGGCATCTGATGGGATGGAAGTAAGTTATAGATTGACAAGAAAGCCAAGATACACCAGCCACAGATCGAATTAAAGAACAAATATCCCAAACTTAATTTTAAAAGACAAAATTGCTCCTATTGAGGGCACAGGAGAAGTTCACTTTTTATAAGCTCTTGGGGGTCTCCTTCCCTCAGGCTTCCCTCTCTTTTCTGATTGGTCCTAGCCCAGGTATCCTCCCTTCAATAGGCTCTTATCCTTTGACCTGTCATTTACAGTCTGAAACAGTTTCTGTCTCTTCCAGGGAGGGGGAGCCTCCCCCTCCCTGGAAGCACCAAGTTGCTCTTCTTTAAGAGGCCCATCTTGTTTCTCAGATCTGTCCATATTCTGCTGACTTCCCTTCACTGTGAAGATACCCTAACCCAGGAAAATCCTAACAGCAGCAAATTTTTAAAAAATGCATAAGGAAGAGTACTATGGAGTCACATCTTAGGACAAGTGGAAGTCAGGTTTAAGTCCAGAGAAGTAAATCAGCATTTTAGTGTGGGCAAGACCCCCTCATGGTATTGCAAAATTCCTTAAAACCGTAGTATGGATGAGCGATATCAACAGTTCTGTCCAGTAAGTATTATGCATACTAAAGTTCATGCATGAGAAAATAATACAAATGACTTCTTAAATCATGACAATGAACTCATTCCCAAAATTTCTCAGTCTGCCTAAAGAGGAACTCAATATTTTGCTTGGTATATGAATAAGTGCTCAATAAATGTTTCATAAATATAAATTCAAATGACATTTAAATACACATATGCACTAGATCTTGAAAATTGTAGAATAGAACTTAGTCCCTTGTTTTCTGGATTTTAAAGCCATCATTGTCTATTGTCCTGCTTCTGGACATTAGTCATCTAGAAGGATAGGAATGAGAGCAAGTCTTATTAAGCCCAATAATAATCCTGATACTATAATCTGTATCCTATATTTCTAGTATTTTTGAGTGACTCACTTGTTTGTAGTGGAGGGATCTTAACAATGTTGTAGGCAACTGAAAAATTTTTCCCAAAGCAGTTGCCAATATTGTAAACAGTTCCATCACTTTCAATATGTGGATGAGCAGTGGCGCCATTGACTGAGACATAGTTGCAAAGATCAACCTGTGGAATGAGAAATAAGTCTTGGGGGTCCTGTCAGCTTCAGTTGTACACTATGAGCAGGGTACTGGGTATAGTATTGACGCTGAGGTTGTCAGTAAACTAATGGCAGGATATCCAAACTCCTTTCTTCTATCTCTTTGAAAAAAAATTACATTAATGTTATTTATAGTCCTGAATTCCATGACTGATCTCCTAGACAGCCCTTATCTCCTTTGTACTCCCATTTCCAAGTAAACAAGTTAAAAATTTTAAAGTATAACTGCTTATATAATTTCTTTAAGCAAAGATTTTCAATAACTTTCCATCAGGAAAACAGTTTATTTCAAATTTCTAGTCTATTATTTAACCTTTCAGATTTACCCAACAGTGTGCCACGGCTCTCTTTGAAACTACTTACACTTCAAGATGACTAGTTCTCAGTTTAAATATTGCCCCCTACCTGAAATATCTGAGCCATTTTTGAATTACAAAGTGATCAAAGACATTTCTGGTATTTAGCAGACAAGGTCAGGACCATCAAGCCTCTACAGTGTATGGGACAGCCCTACAGTGAAGGGCCTTATCCTGCCCAAAGCTTCCACAGAGAACTGTGACAGGTCTAGTTTAAAAAGATTATTCACAGTCTCTGCAAACATATCCCTTATTTCTCCATCTCTGTATCTTTGATAACACAACCCATTATTCTAGAATGTTTTTTGACCAAATTTACTGAAGCTACATGTATTCAGAAAGTATATAAGAGTTCAAACTTTGATCCCTTTCTCCACCCTAAACAAGAACCTTGAGACATATTTCTGTATCTGTTTTCCTTAGGTTTACATTTTCTTAAAAGATTCACCACATTATGAATCCTTCTATTGGGTGTCTCTTTGATTTCCCCATCTAGAGGTTAAGCTTGCTAAAGACAAGCACAATACCTTGCAAAATATGTTAACACATACTGGTTGAGACTGTGTGCCTATTTTAAGATATAGTCATGAAGACTGCATAAGTTCTCAGCAAAGTGTGTCATTTTCTAATATTTTGGTTAATACTATTCCATTTAAAATATATCTTTATTTCTAATAAAAAGTGTCTACAAAGGACAAACTGGTGCAACACGGTTGCCTAGAACCATCAATGGCAGGTTTTCAATATTAAAAGGTATAATTTTGAACACTGGTATTTATATCTTATAGGTCAGAGACAGTGCTATATTGATATATTCCTTGTATCTTACAAAAGTTTTTGATACATGGAAAAGTCTCAGAAAATATTTGTGTTACAACTGAATGAATGTTAGTTGTTTTAAGTGGTTTCCTCCCATCTATCTTAGTATTTAAAATGTCATAGATTAAGAAGTAAATTTTACCATCCATATGTTATATGTCTAGCAGTTGGTGACCAGCAAGAAGTTGAAACTTAATCTGCTCATGTTCTTTCTGTTGAATTTATCCTAATGTTTTAATTCCCAGTTCCCAATTTTATGTGCTTGAGCAATATTCCTTGAGCACAGCCTCCTACCTGCTTAATTGTCTCCAGGGTCTCTGGGTTAATTTTTGTAATAAAGTTGGTCTCTGTACAGGCATAGTAATCTTCTCCCACTGGGTAGATATTTACAAGGGCATTGTCAGTAACCTCCACTCCTCGAAAGTAAGAAAAAAACCTACAGAAGTAAATGATTTTTCCAGTTCAATAACTTTTAAGTTACATGAACAAAAAAGGGCTGATATAAAATGCAATTTGGTTTTATTAACCTGGAAAATATATTCTTGCAGGGGTCTGGGAAAGCACAGGTGCCAAATTCTGTTATGACAATCCTCTTCTCAGTCATTGCCCGAACATAAGCATCAGTGCGGATGAATCTGAAGGACATTGAGAAACGAGGAAAGGATACATTCATACAGGACACGTGAAAATACTCAATGTGTTTTCATCAAATTGGAAACATGAACTCAAAAAGAATAGGGAGAACCATCAGCTCCTTTTATTGGGATAACCAAAAAAGGAATGAGCTTAATTAAATTGAGTCCTCTAAACCTAACTGTGATTGATAGGGAAACTGAGGTGCCAAAAGTTAAGTGGCTGATATATGTGATTACAACCATGGCCAGAGTTAGAAAAAGTGAATGTGTCATATCATACCAGAACCCCACAATGTGGTGGGTAGTTTTCATCAACTTGACATAAAGTAGAGTTTTTGGGAAAAAGTGAACTTTAATTGAGAAGATGCCTTCATCTTCCTCCAACCCTCCAGATTGCCTATAGAAATACATGGGACATTAATTTTTTTTAATTAATGATTGATGTGGGAGAATCCAGCCCACACTGAATAAGTGGTAATAGAAAGCAGGCTGAAGGCTGGAGTGATGGTTCAGCCATTAAGATCATTGGTCACTCTTCCATAGGACTTGGATTCAATTCCCAGGACCCATGTGGTGGCTCACAACTGTAATTCCAGGGGATCTGACACCCTCTTCTGGCTTCTGCAGACAATGCATGAATCCAGTACATAGATATACAAGCAGGCAAACATAAACATGAAATAAAATTTCCAAAAACTTTTTTAGAAAGAAAGCAGAGAGAGGGGCAAAGAGGAGGAAGAGGAAAAGAGAGAGAGGGAAAAGAGAGAGAGAGAGAGAGAGAGAGAGAGAGAGAGAGAGAGAGAGAGAGAGAGAGAGAGAGAGAGATGCAAACCAATAGGCAGTATTCTTCCATGGTCTCTGCTCCATTTCCTCAATCATTCCTGACTTGACTTCACATCCTGACAAACTGTAAAGTGTAAGATGAAATAAACCCTTTCCTTCCCAAGTTGCTTTTGGCCATGTTTTTTTATTACAGAAACAGAAAACAAACTAGGACACATGGGTACTTCACACATGTTACTCATCACATTATAGGACACAATGTGCTGGGTTATGTTCCTTTCATTATCCCTCTGACCTTGTGTTTCTCTTTAATTTTAGAATTTATTGTATACTTTAAAACTTAGTTGTTATTGAATTTTATCTCTTCCACAAGCTGATTGGCTGAGCCATTTCCCAGACTACCTGGCAAATGCTGCCTAAGGTTTGTCACATGAGGGCAAAGTAAGTTCTGATTTTGTGTGTTTATGACGAGGAGTATATATGAATGTATACACTAGAAGGTATACAAAAACTTTGCCTAAACTCCAAAATTGCTTTGCTAGAAAAATTTATGCTTGGCAGGCTCTGCTTCTATTTTGTCACTGTTCAAATCCTATTTCCAGTTTCCCCTTACTCTTCCTTTGATGTCTCTTCAAAATGCTTGAAATTCGTGGTGACCATACCACTAGCAGGCTGGAACATTCAAATAGGAATCAGGGTATTTACTGTGTTGGTGTGGGGGCTTTTTGGAATGATGGCTTTATCAATAACTATTGTTGTTATTATTATTAAAATTATTATTTCTATTATTATTATGTGCTGTGGGATGTCCTGTATGCTGTAAACATATGTTGCTGTGATTGATTGATAAATAAACACTGATTGGCCAGAAGCCAGGGAGGAAGTACAGGTGGGACTAGCAGAGAGGAGAATTGGGGGAACAGGAAGGTGGAGTATGGGAGACACCAGCCTGCCATCCAGGGAGCAACATGTAAAGGCAACAGGTAAAGCCACGGAACAAGTGGCAACATATAGGTTAACAGAAATGGGCTGAGTTAAGTGTAAGAGCTAGTCAGTGGTAAGCCTGAGCTAATGGCCCAGCAGTTTAATTAATATAAGTTTCTGAGTGATTATTTTATAAGTGGTTGTGGGCTCCATGGTACTGGGCAGGACTGGAGAAAACTCCAGCTACAATTATGTGTATTATATTTGGCCTGCATGTATGTCTGTGTACTACATGTGTGCCTGTTACCCACAGAGGCCAGACAGGGGCATCAGATCTCCTTGGTCTGGGGTTGCAGACAGTGTGAGCTGCAGCTGCCATGGTGTGAGAATGGAATTCTGGGTCCTCTGCTAGAGTAGCTGCTGAGCCATTGCTCTAGCCCTTTAGCCAATAACTCTTGTTAAAAATTTTTCTGTCTCTGTCTTTCTCTGTGTTGCTCCTCTCTCTACCCCTCCCATGTCTCTTCTCTGTCTGGTATTTCTGTGACATATTTGGTCCCTTCCTCCTTTGTGGCACCCTTTCTCTTTCTCAGTTCTTAAAAAATTTTAAACACTGGTGTGTGTGTGTGTGTGTGTGTGTGTGTGTGTGTGTGTGTGTGTGTACATGTACCCTGGAACATATGCATGTGCCACTGAATGCATAGAGTTCAGAGACAACTTGCTGGAGTCAGTTTTCTTCTACTATGTGGGAACTAAACTCAGGTAGTCAGACTTAGTGGCATGTAAGGCTTATCTACTGAACCATCTCACAGGCCACTTTCTCAGATCTTTCTGATGATAAAAAAAATGAACCAAGATAAACAGTAGTCTAATAATTACAACAGTAACAGCAGCTTTTGCTTCTACTGCATTCTTGCTACTCATTTAGTCATGAGTAGATTCTACTATTTCTTTCATTTTATAGATGACCAATAAAAGAATTAAAAGCCAGTTTCTTGCCAGAAGTCATCAGTGAAGACAAGCAGTGCCTGGTGGATTCAGGATTTGAAAACAGCCGTGCTTGGCTCTGAGCTCTTGAGCCTATCCTGTTTTAGCATATATATGGACCTTGCAGATATACAGACGTCCATAGACCATGAAGAAAGAAGAAAGAAATGAGTTTGGAGGTCTGCTCTGTGTTCAGGAAGATGAAAGTTCACACAAGGGGAAAGGCTCCACTGAGATAGGCTCCACTCTGGTGAGGACAGCCATGAAATAGTGATGACTTACCTCCTATGGTATGTGACTTGGCCCTCCTTAAAGTCAAACTTGTGCAAAAGAGCTTGTCCATCAAACAGGTGATAGAAGGGCTCAGATCCAACTTCAAAGAGCCCTGGCCCACATCGAAGGAGACTGCCAGCAAGCCAGAGGGGAATTCTACCTGCAGCAAAGTGAGATAGCAAGTGGTAACACTTACTAGATTCCCCAGGTGCCTGTCCATTTGTCATTTCTCAGCTTACCTTTGGATGGAACATCAGGCTTTCTTATGCAATTTGGTGGATTGAAAAGTAGAGGGAGTAAGGGTCAAAATATTATAACTAGGAATGTTGATATGGTGACATAAAATTTTTTATTTTAAATTTTGAGACAGGATTCCACTGCGGCACCTTTGATGGCCTGTACCCAGTTTATAGACCAAGCTGGCCTCAAACTCAGATTCATCTGCCTCTATGTCTTGAGAGCTGAGATTAAAGGTGTGCACCACTGTACCTATGTAGAAAAACTTTTTAAATGAAGCAACAGGAATGTTGAGTTTTTAAAATCTAAAACTCCCATTTCTCTTGAGGTATGAATCAGCACCCTTGATGAAATTCTTCGTCTGTGGCAGAAAAGGTACAAGGCTAGGTGTTAGGGTCTGAACTCAGATGAGGAACAATCCTGGGGATTTCCATCTTCCACAGTGAGGCTTGGTCTGTCCTCTTATCACTAAAAAAAGTACAACATGTTTGCTCATTTCTTACCAGGTCTTTATTTTCAAACAAGTAAGATTGAAGACTACAAATCAAGGTCAATAGCCTACAGGACTAAAAACTGAAAGCATGCACATTTTGATACCAGAGCTAGATTGTTGGCACAACCATCCAGCTGAGGAGCACTGACTTCTCTTTTATAGAGCAGGAAGCAGGGAAAAGACTTGCCCAAGCACTGGCATTTCCCATAGCATCCTGTTATAACTAGCAAGGCCTCGCTGAATCACAAGGGGTCTTCAGACAGAGCTGTCTATTGCTTACTTGGTGTCTAAAACTGGGTTAGTAATTCTACTTAAATTACCTCTTAGTCTTCACAATATCCCCACAAAATAAATGTTGGTCTTTAGAAAGTGAAGGAATTGAGGTAAAAATAATTAAGCTACTGATAGGAACCTCAGATGGTGAAATAATAGGGTTGTAGCAACACTGCCACCTGCAAGTGCTTCTGATGTAATAGGCATGACACCACTTCCTTTCAATGCAAAACTATCAGACACTTGTCACTAGACTCTCATTTAAGACCTTTGTTGGACAGACACTTATAAGACATTTTCTATGGTGAGCATTGAACAAGGGACTTTCAGATTGAAGATGACAAAGGTATAGTCTTTATTCTCAAGGAATTTCAGTTAAATAATATCTATCTACACTGTGGAAGTAGAGTGGAGGTAAATGAGAGAAGATGAATTCTTATTATTAAAACCTGAAGTTCAAAAACAACATCAGAAGCTATCCTCAAAGCCCTGAATGTCTTACATTTGTTTTTCCATTTTACTCTTCATTTTTCTTACAGGTTCAGATCCCTCCATTTTTTCAAAAATTATTCACTCTGTGTATATGTGTATGGGCATGTGCCAAAGCAAGTATTTGGAGGTAAGAAGGCAACTTGGAGTTGGCTTTCTACATGTGGGTTTGGAGTCAAACTCAGGTTTATCTAGTTTGGTGGCAAGGACCTTTAACTTTACCTGATGAACTGTCTTACCTGCCTCATGTCTAATTTTTTTTCTAATGAATTAACAAGTCTTGGGCTAGTAAGAACTCACTAGTTACACTAGAGTGGTATTCAGGTTTATTTGATTTACTTTTACTTAGCAAAACATTTTAGAGAAAGACAAAACAAATGAGCTCCATATTCCCTTTCCTGTATTGTGGAAACAACCAGCACTGAGAGACCTGAATGAATATGAAACTTGAGAAAAATGATCTTGACAGAATAGAAAGATTTCAGAAGTGTTAAACTGTGGTGGCCTGAACCCAGTACTCAGAGGCTAAAGCAAGAGGGTGTCATGTTTTACAACAACCTAGGCTATACAGCAAGACTCCAGTTTAGAAAACACAACAAGCAAGCAAAGATCAATGAAACTAACCTGTGACATGAGCTGTTAGTGGTGAGGACAGTTCTTCCACAGTTTCAAATAGCTTCTTGTAGCCACCAGCAGGATGTTCAATTCTGAAATGTGGGGGTAATAGAAAAAAGCCTAGGTTTATTCTCAAAGAGTCCCAGGGGTCAGAGGTAGTGCTCTTGGAGAATGGTGCTTTAAGGACACTTTCCAGTTTGGCTGCAGCCCAGCCTACTTAGGGTTTTATGAGATGTTCCTCAGGCCCTTCCTTTCATGTCAAGGAGAATATCCTCACTTTTAATAACAGTGGCCATATGGTTCTAATCCTACTTTATGCAGTTTTTCATGCTCCTGAAGACATATCAACTAGTCTTGCTGTACTCACTTCTCTTCCTGAATTGTGACACCCACAGGTTCTTCTCAAGAATTTAGAGACACACAACTGAGGCATCTCTGACCTTCTCATGGACTCATTCAGGATCAAGTGCACCATCCTTAGTTATTCATCATACTATGCTATTAGTTCTTCCCAACATCTCATGTCTCTACCAATTCTCAAGGGCTATAGTACTTTCAAAAAGTAGATCAAAAGATTCAGGTCCTGTACTGTTTTGTGTGGGCCTATTTCTTATGTCTTATCTTTGCTTCTGTTTTATAACTTCTTAAAGTGCAGTCCTGACTAGACCTCCTAATTATAACTACTTTTTATCAATCACTTATCATTAAACATTTTACAAAAAGAATTTCATATTGTACTTGAGCATTTAAATCTCTCAACACCACAGTAGGGTAAGTAGTATTATGATATTACTTCAGAAGTTGGAAAAATCTTTAAGAATTAGATAATTTAGACTTAAAAGTTTATGTAATTTGCCAAAGACACACAGGAATAAAATGACCAGACAAGACACAATGCTTATCTCTGTGTTCACAACTGCCTTCCAGGCCCATTGCAATTTGTACAGATCTCACCACCATCTGAATGTGAACTTTATATATTCAGTTTGCTGCAGGAAAAAGTGTCTCCAGCTAGGCCCAAGGGCCTTCTTAAGCAAGCCACCACCCAATTCTATCTCTCTAAAACAACCTGAAATACTCCATTTACCACAAAGGCACAATACAAGCTCTCTCAGGGATACTTACTGGATAGACATTTTCTCTCAGTGAAGACTAGAGAGTTCTGGCACCAGCTTAGGACAAGGAAACAAATCCTTAGCCAGGGCTTTTTTGTATTCCATCTAATCCCTGGAAGTGCCAGTAGCACTGGGAATCCTCTCCACCCCTCAGCTGATACAGGGTAACAGAAGTGACTTTCAGCACTTTAGACGCTTGCACATTATTTGGACTTAGTGTTTCCATAACAGTGTTTTGGCTGTTTTCCACAGACCTGGATCCTTCCCAAGGACAATGAGAAGTGGGTTGGATAGAAAGGAGCTGTGTGGGAATGACATGACAGTCCTGAGCTGACTTCAGTCACCACACATTTTTTGGTGTCCACCTCTGTCCACTAACTCTTTGTTATCATCTTCACCCTCATTCATTTACTCAATTATTTTAAAAAAAACTATTGTATATGATCCAGAACTTGTTAGAGACAGCACAGTCATTATCTTCATGTTGTAATTGTCATGGTGGCCAGGTACGGCTTAATAAAATTTAGCTAGTGCTAACATTGGAGGTATGGGGTGCTATCATTGCATGTTTTAGCCCTGCTATCCTTCTTTAGCACAGTTCAGTACCCAGGTCCTTTCAACAAGGCTGAGGACTTTAGCTGTTATTAATAGTTGAGGAGGAGACACTACATGCTCTTGCTTATCACCACTACATGCCTGTTGCCCATCACTGTCTGTCCTATTACTCTTTTTTCTGTACTTGGAAACTAAACAATGCTGTTTTATTCACATGTCCACATTCATATTAAGCTACTGTTATTATTAAGGACAGACACGTACTGTTTATTGAAGTCCTAGGAAAACAGACAAGATAGAGAGAGCAATGATAGCATTTTTTTTTTCAGGAAAACTGAGAAATAAATTTAAATTTAAAAAATGGTTATGACTACCCACCCTTACACAACAAAGCTGTAGAACAGTCAATCTGACTACTCAGAAAGATACTAGGAACTTTCCCAGCTTGCTTGCAGCAGGAGCTGTGGCCCAATAAGAGGCAGAATGAGAAGGTAGTGGTATCACCCAGTGCTTGGTCTCACTGGAGGTTCTGCTCATCCATAATAGTCATTAGACAACTTAAGACACTGTGTAGAGGAGCTTAGGTAATAACTGGACAGTTAAGTCTCCAAGTTCCATCTTTTAAATATTCTAGAGATTATGCTAGCTACCTAACACTTAACCTACATGTGCACTGCTCTACATAGTTAAAGTTGGTTTCACTATTTGCAACTAAGTGTCCAATTTCTATAAAATGATGGTGGTACTGAGGAAGAATGTCTCTATTTGTTTTAGGAAGTACTAGAAGAAAAAGAGCAATCTGAGCTAGGAAGACTATATAGAAGCCAGTTAAAGTGCAAGCAATACAGAGTTCAGGCCAAGCTTAGAATATTTATAAAGTTTAGATGTGAATGTAATACAGTGAACTAGAAAGAGGTATAACTAGTTTTCCAGGGGTTTTTTTTTTGTGTGTGTGTGTGTGTGTGTCAACTTGATATAAGCTAGAGTTATCTGAAAAGAGGAAATCTCAACTGAGAAATGGCATCAATAAGATTGGCCTGTAGTCAAGTCTGTGGGGGCATTTTCTGTGATGGATGGGCCTAATCCATTGTGGGTTGTGCCACCCATGGGTAGGTAGGTGGTCTTGGGAGCTATAAGAAAGCAAGCTGAATGAACCATGGGGAGCAAGCTAGTGAACAGCTTTCCTTCATGTCCTCCACTTTAGTTCCTTGCCTCCAGATTCCTGCCTTGATTTCCTGCCCTGATTTACTTCAGTGATGGAATGTGACCTGAGAGCTGTAAGAGTAAATAACCCCAAGGTTTTTTTTTTATGTTATGATGTTTCATCCCAGAAATAGAAACCTAACTAAGACACTTGTCTAAAAATAATGGTAGGTCAAGCTTTGTATAACATTGTCTCATGTAAGGAAATCAATAGTTTGTCATGAGAAAAGGCTTCACTGAAGAATAACATGATGTACTTTGTATTTTTAAAGGTCATTTATATTATGGTCATGATACTAGAATGGGAATTTTGGATAGATAAAGTGAGGAAGATATCAAACAAAGGAAAATGGCTCTCATGGAAAGATACACTGGTGATGGGTATACATGGTCAATTTAAAGAGTTATTTTAGAGGAGGCCTGAACAAGCTTTGTGATTAGTACATGTTCTGGCAAAATAAAAGGCCAAAGAGATGAACACTAGTATAATTCATTGGGGCAGAGAAAGAGCAAGAGAAAGAGGCAGGGGCAGGCAGGCAGGTAGACAGACAGACAGACAGAGAATAAGAATTATTAATTTGTTTGGTTTGGGTTTATTTGATAAAAACAGACCACTGAGAGATCACTCAAAGGCACTACATGGAAACAGATTAGCTTGATGGCCTATTGGAGAGAGATATAAGACAGGGAAGATGATGGTAGTACAACAGAAGGTTCGGTAGTAAGAAGTTGAAAGGGCAGGTTGCAAGACTATCGCTTTTATTGGATATATTTTTCTCCTGAGTCTTTCCTTGGGTGTAGATGTATGGTTTATATCATAACACTGTACATTTCCCAACTTCCCAGGAAATAAAAATTTTAGTATTCCTGGTGCTCCTTCATGCCCCAAATGTCTTTCTTTGGTAGTTCTGGGTTGTCTTTGTTGTCTTAGGATTGAAACCATGTCTTTAAAAACAAGAACTAGCTTTTTTTCAGTGTGTATGTATGTTTGTTTGCTGTTTTGAACATTTGTTATTCTTTTTTATTTTTACATGCATAGACTCTAGAAATTAGCACCTTGAAGAATGTGTTTTCAAAAGTAAAAAATCATGGTTAAGTCATTTATGGAAGGTTTATAGGTTAAGAGCTCATGTATATTAAGTTAGTATGCTTGGATAAAATCTAGATGAAAATTGGTTTCTGACCAGGGCTGGTGGTGTAGGTCTATAAAAGAGACTGAGGCAGGAGGATCCTAAATTCAAGTGTGCCAACTTAGTGAGACACCCAAACTCAAATTATAAAGTAAAAGTGACTGGGTATGTAGCTTAGTGGTAGATTGCTTGTCTAGATTGTGTGAGACCCTAACTTTAATCCTCAGTACCTCAAACAAATAACTAACAAATGAAAACAAATACATACACATGCAACCAACAACAACAACAAAAACAAAACAAACAAAAACAGGAGAACAAGAACAGAAACATCAATTACCTCCAATTTCTGAGGATACTGCATTGAATCCTGAGTCAACTGGGTGTAAGCATGGAAATATTCAAAGCGCTCACCCAACACTGGAGATTGAACTAGGGCCTTGTGGATTCTAGACAAGAACTTACCACTAAGCTATGTCCCCATCCCCAGCTCTTCAAATGTACTTTTTATTTAGTTATTTTAGCCAAAAGTGATAACATAAAGATCAAGCAATACCTGCTAATCTCCACTTTCAGGAGATTTGATTGTATATCTAATATTTTGTTGATGATCCAAGTACACCTATTTTGTCATTGGTGTAAAGTTAAAGGTTAGGTGTACTCACCCTTCCACAGTGTCATTTTGGCCTCTTTGCCCATAACACCCAGATGCAGACTTCTCTGAAGGCCTAAGTTGATCTTGCTCCAATGAATTACTATTTTTTCTACCCATCTTCTTCTCTTGTTAGCTCTCTTAACTTTATATCACTTGGTAAAACCAGATATTCATGTTCAACTATATGAACTATTTCATTTTGATACACTTTGGTACATTTACTAAAACAATATTCCCTGAATTAAAGTAGAAAAGCATTTCCATGAAAGATGTTTCTATACTTCCTGGAAGAAGTCATTATTACAAGTGCAATTGAAATTGCTGCTTTGTCTTGGCTCCAGGCCTACTTCACTGTGACCCATAGTGGGGAGTGAAGACTATATTCTGAAAGCAGGAATGATGCTAGAGGGTGTTAAGTAGAATGACTGAGGCAGTCTTTGATTTGTGAACAAGCTACTCACAAATATTTGTATCTGAAGAGAGATAAAAGTGTAATACTACAATGGAGAAATTCACATAGAAAACAAGCTGGTGGAATTAAGATGCTTTTCAGGTTTAAACTACAGAAATTGCACTGTAGATTGCTCTATGAGTTTTAGAAAAATGGGGTGAAAGGCATATGACTTCTCTGTTGTCAATACTGTAGCACAAATTAAATATCAAATGTCATTGCCATCTTACAGTAAGAGGGGCAGTTGGCTGTGTGGATCTGCTGACATATCTAGACTTGCTCTTAGAACCAGAATTTGTGATCAGCTGTTGATTGATCAGGGTCTTAGTGAAATAGGTGGTGTGACTCCACTTTACTAAGTGTGTCTCCACTGCAAGAGGCCAGCCTATTTATTCTTGCCTAGTAGAGATAAAATGAATGGAAACACAAAAATATCATTTAATATCTAGGCTCAGAAAAGATCCATTCATGTAGGCAGTGTTGTGTTTAGAGCATTACCACAAGTACTCAAAACTTGTTTGTTGAATGTAGTTAGTAGAGGCCTCTGAAATATTGCTTTCACAAACTAAGTAAGCAAGAAAAAATTTGTTTATAAATGAGTGCTTAAGAATTTGGCTTTCTTCTACTAAAGAATTTGAAATATCTTACTTAAAGTCTTGATTATACTTTGATTTTAATTAATCAGCTCTTGAGTCACATTCATGAAAATCACTAAAAAAGGATTCTGAGTCAGCCTTGTTGGATTAATGGTGGCTTAGCCATGAAAAGCCTGTGGTACTCTTGTAAGTTTTCAGGTCCTGCCAACTGGGTGACAGAACTGGTTCATAATATGAAAGAATTTTAAATATGGATTAAAATTACTTAATTTTCTTCTGGAGGCATCAAACAAAGAGTTATTCTGGTAGCATTAAAAATTTTGGTGGTGCTGATACAGTTTATGGAATTATTGTATTGCTTGATAGCTCTTTCTTACAAGTAGAAAACTGGATTACCAAAGAGAAGACAGAAGTTAACAGAGTTGTGTATG